CACATGGGATTTGGGCTTAACAAGAAGAAGTTGCTAGAATTTTTAGAGCTTCACCTATTACTACACTTGATAAATTTAGGTGATTTGATAGGTATATCCAGAATATTGGGTTGAACCTCACCACTGGAGTAGATCCACTCCTCTTAAAGTATGAGTATACAAAAATGTACATCTCCACTCTCCACCCAATGCTATGACTAATGGTGAACTAAAGATTGGCAGTTTTATTTCCATATCAGAATCTGACAGAATTATTTCCTGTTGAAAAAGTCCATTGACATGCTTTTTCTATATTCAGACATGTAAATTTGTGAAATTTGAGACTATATAGACTATCTATCAGTCTACTATACATGTAACAGAGAATAAAGCTAGAGTACAAAGAAACATAGCCATTATGATACTAAACTGAAGTAACAATAAACAGAGTGTATGGCCTAGTGATAGATTAATATCAAAGAGGTTAGACTACACATGAGGTCTCAGCACTTGGCCTTAAACATGCTAATATCATTATAAGAAGATATGCTAAAAATAAAAAGAATACAATTGAAATATGATCAGCACTTCTGATTACATTGATCAAGGATGCACATTCATTGATATACTGATGGAACATATCTTAAAACAGAAAACTGAGACCCAAAGAAAAGTATTTAAATAACTGGATGCTGAACAGAGAAATAGAATAATGACAACAAAGTAATAAATAGAGAAATACTACTAAAGATGAATAGCATACATAACATTCAGAGACTTGCACATGTAATTATGGTGCCTTTGCACATATAACACTGTGAAGGACTCTGCATTATACTGAGATATGATACATACCCATTGAATGAATTAATTGATGCATGCTAAACTAGAAGTGGTATATATTGTGAGTCAGATAAAATATCCAGACTCTCAGAAAGAGAATATAGTCATTGTAGCTGACTCCAGATATGAGAGATAATCTTGGAGGGCCTAAAACAGTTCTCTGATGTCAGAATGCTTTATTGGAAGAATAAAAAAGCAAGCAGATCTGGCTAGGCCAACTAGCTGATGTCAAATCATGAGAGAACAGCAGGCATAGTCCTGTTCCAGAATAGAATAAGCATGGCAACTGTGATGTGTGTGTAAATAATATCTGTAAGATTCAGAACAAAGTCTTATATATTGAAGATACTATAGTAGGATTGTATTAGTAAGTACTGCAATAGAATATTTAAATGCCATATTGTATAAGTAGAATACAAGTTTCTAACCCCCATAGTTGCAGTGTATTAGGCACAGAAAGCCTTGCACCCTAGCTCTGGATTTGTGTTTGTAACTTTAGATAAGAGAATAGACTTGTTATTGATATCATTAAGAGAGATCTGAGAACTGTGTAAGGCATTGAAGCTCACATGAAACTCTAGTTTGATCTGATAAGAGGTTTTAAATTGTGTTCTATTCTGAAAATAAGAGAGCAGTGTCTGAAGGACACTATCTTAAATTTTTAAGGAATTTGTGATGTGAGAGACTATAAGTAGCAGAGGTTCAAACCCTTTGAGTCTGTCAGATGGGGTTTTTCAGTTTATTTCCATGGGTTGGCAAAGGTTCAAACCCTTTAGCCTGTGGACAGCATTATTTGTGATATTTCTGCAGATTAGCAGAGGTTTAAACCCTCTGGGTCTGTTGGATGGTATTTATTGAGTTTTGTGTCTTTGAATCACATAGGTTTGAATCCTGTAAGTCTATGATCAGTTTAGAAGCTTATGTACAGAGATTCAAACTCTTTAGCACTTGTAGATGTGTTTGTGATTAGTCTCTGCTTAGAGTGCTAAACTTTGAATCATGCATTGTATGTGTTAGGAATTTAGAATTGATCTGAGCTGTGCTTGAAATCTTTTGAGAGTTTTGTGAGAGTGTTTCGAAGTATTATATTGAGCTACAGTATTCTTTGCCTTGAGGTCTAGCAACATCTGTTGCCACCTTTTGTTTTGAGTGAAAAGCTTTAAGACTTAGAGAGATCTAGGACTGCTATACATTTGCTATTGCTATTCACATGCAATGGATTCATTAGAGAAGACAATTATATTTGCTGTTACTACTTTATCACATTATAATCCCTCCATAAACTAAGAGTATTGTGTGTGTTAGTATGGGTGTAATCAGTGGATAGCACTCTGTTGTATCTGTTTTCACTATATGTGCACATATAATCTCTTCACTGCAAAGCTGCCAAATACCAGCTAGAAAGCTACAGATCCCTTTATATTAACTTGAGTCCAGCTACTTTATCTTTTGCCAATCTGGAACCCTTGTCCATGCTAAGAGTAAGTGCACCAGTAAGTCAGACATCAGCTATACTGCCACTACCACTGTATGGACAGCAGTCTGTGGTAATACCAGGAGAGAACATCTTAGACATTATAGATCAGTTCTCTAAGACTATAGCCACAGGTCTGTCCCTAGCATACTATAATCTGTATGGGTATATACAGCTATATGCATTACAATCTGCTCCTCAAGCCAGATTCTTCTTTAATAACCAGCTGGACATAACCTCAAAAATAGAGTCCACTATTGAAAAAAGGCTTTTAGCAGACATTTAGAAGTTGGAATCTGAAGGTAAAACTAAGCAGACTATAAAAGATAGACTCCTAGCCACCATCAACAAGCTGATGGAAAGAAACAACCCAGATAAGAAATATAAATATTATAGGTGTGATGCTGGTTACAGAAACTGCATAGCCAAAAAAGTGGACCAAGAGAAAGAGCTAATCAAGTATAATCATATCAAAAGGAAACTAGTCATACTCAATGGGTCTGAGCTACTCAGAGAAAATAGTTACCTCAGACAGCAGATAGAAAAGTGGCATAAGAATAGCAGAGGCTTGTCCACAGCCATCAATATAATATCAACCCAGCACTGTATAGGTATAGCAAATCTGGTGTATCTGCCTGAGTTTGAACCAAAGGCAGAAAACACCAATATATATGCAACAGTTATCTCTTCTCAGCTTATAGGTCTATATGAGAAGCATGCAAAGGTCTATACCTTGCAGCTTATAGCCTATCTAGATGAAGAGTCAGAGTCAGAATCCAAGGAGAACAAAGAAGATTGAGCTATAAAGGTGCTCAAGCAGATTCTGAAGGACAGAGTCAAAAACAAGAGGAATGGCAAGTCTGTGAGTAAAAAGCCAGGCAAGCTCTTTAAGAAAGTAGATGTTGTCATACTGTCTGCTAGAGCCAGTCAGCTATCTGCCTCCATTCTCTCTATCAGCAAACTCCTTGCCAAAGACCCAATACATCTGCCTGTGAAAGAGACAGATATAGCTAATAAAACTTTCAAAAGGTAGACCATGCCAGCTAACCCAAGGAAGGACTATCAGAAAAAGTACAGGTATGCAGCTCCTATAATTCAATTAGAGACAATAGATGATCTCTACAAACATATACTAGACTCCAGACTGGAGGTTTTCATCAAGGAATTATATAGAGAAAGTCCAGAGATCTGTAACAAGTTAAAAGAGGCTCTGACCAACTGCAAAGTACTAGTGAAAGTTGGAAAAATTAGAGCAGCAGTAGTTGAAAATGACCAGCTGCTGATCATATATCTGCCTACCAGTTGATATGTGCATATTGTGATAGCAGATAAAGCAGAGAGTTTAAGGGCCTTAACACCAGTTATTGGTAGGCTGCATGAAGTAGAGTCCATACTGGATGAAAGATCCTAAATGGTGTCCATATCTGCTGCAGTATAATATCAATGCAGATTGCTTCTGGATCTGACCATTAAAATTGCACTTACTAGCACAAATAGAGAAATAGGATGGTCTTTGAACTTCTGCAGAAATGTGCCTTTCAACTTCAAGGGTCTGGAAGTACTGTTTTGAGTGTATGTAGTGAAAAATACAGCATACAATGTCTTGCTGGAAAGACAATTCTCTATCCTCTATAAAACCAGAATTGACAACCATTTAATGGGAAGCAGATTCTCACAATCCATAATCCAAACACTAGGATAGAAACAGTAATCCCTATCTATAAGAGAGAGAAGTCTCTATTCTCCTGGCTATATAAATATATAAGCTCTAATCTGCACATGCATGAGCTGTGCTCACCCTTCAATTCTCATGTAAAATTTCCTTAAGTGAGAATCTATTTTTCACTCAAAGAGAATTAAAACTCTCTATTATGATCAAAAAACTACTAATGGATTTTTTGCTATGGACACACACACTTGCAATAGGAGCTGATAGCATATCAGCTCATATAGATATATCCTCTATACTCAGATATGCTATTTCCACTGAAGCTGTAATGGAGAATCAGGTCAAGCATACTCTAGACCTGAACCAGTCACAATCTTATATTAGAAATACCAGAATCATTGCCAAACATTGCAACAATACCCCACTTTTTAATATCTTAACCTTCATCTTTGCTTCAGCAGATTATGTCCAGCTGGCAGACAGATGCTTGGATAGGCCACTGTCCACATTTACTCCTCAATTTTCAACACTAGAGCATGTTTCCTAGCCTCATGATCCTCTGTTTATGGATTTGTTTGAAAAGGATAGCATATGGACCAATACTTCTCACTTCACACCAATAGGTATATTCAAAGTCTCAAGACTCAAGCCTAAGAAAAAGAAGTACAAAAAGATCAAACACTATATTAAGCATGTACTCATAACATTACTAGAACAGTTTCAGATAATCTAAAAAATCACAGAGAACCTGCTGACAGACATACTGGTCCTTTCAGTTCATTCACTGGACTTCACTCTAACAGAACACTATATCCAAGAGAATTATGACATTATAAATAAAAATCACCCAGGAGATTTCTTATAGCAAGAAGAGCAGAAGCTCATGCACCATTTCATGATGTTGCAGAAAGCTGAATTCACATGGGATGAGTCACAGAAGGGGAAATTCAGAGAAGATGTCTTTTCCCCAGTGACCATCTCTATTGTAGAACATATCTCTTGGGTTCACAAAAACATTCTCATTTCCTCAGATATCATAAAGTCATAAATACAGTTAAAAACAAGATTGCTTCAGAAATATATGAGCCTTCCAGTTCTTTATATTGCTCTAAGTGGTTCACAGAATTCAAGAAAGATGGATGTTCACTATAGTGATATGCATTGTATCAGGCTAGCCCTAAAATTTGTGAATTTTAAACAATATATTTATATAAGCTGAGGTCTATATGACTAGCCATTCAAGAGCTATAGCTGAGACTTCAAGCTGATAGTCATGCTATGCTAAGAAGGCTAAGGATCAATGTGGACTTAGCTAAAACAACTTTTCACTGGATTAATAACCTCAAAGTCAAGATTGGACTTAGAGAAATAACACCACTATAGTAAAATGCCAAGTCAATTTGGACTTAAAAATGATACTATGTTTGGGCCAATTCTAAATGCCATCAGGGCTGGTATACTATAGTCTAGCTCAGAAGTTTATTATCATGACTAGCAGTGAAGTATAAGATCTAGCTAGCACCTAAACCAGAAGTAAAAACAAAGTAGAACTCATTAACCCATGGCTAGCATACTGGGTCTAATGCAAAATACATGTGGTGAGGATTTCTCAGGCATGAATAATTAAAGAGGCACATAGTTCAGAGGATAAACCACAATTAGGAAGCTTGGCTGCCTCAGATCACTATGATCAATTGACTGTGATCAATAGTCAGTTCAAAAGTAACAAGCAAAACTATAAGATGATTGATTATATAGTAAATGATCATGGACTATAGAAATAGAGCACTAGAGGAGTCCTAGATCACCTGAAAAGAATATATGAGACATACCAAGATAGAAAAATAATTTAATTTTTAGGGCTAGCCAAGCAAAATGAGTGACCAGACTAAATTATTTATAGATTTTGTATCAGTTAGTTATATATAAAAGCAGAACAAAGAAGAATTATGTGGCAGGTGATCCACCTCTGCAATTTAGGTGTTTTAGCTCTCAGTAGTTAGTTTCTGTATCAGTGGTCTTATGTGTAATCTCAACTTGGATAGCTATTGTTACTAAGTCATCTGTATTGAATAAGAGTTGAAGTCTTTACTGAACTTTGGGTTTTGGCATAATTTGGGTCCTAGCTTCATAAGAGTTTTAGCATCTGAGTATCAGTTCTCTTATTTTAAGAACTACTAGCTGGCCACAGATGCAGCTAGCCAAGTTTCAGTGCTTGAGAGACTTGGTATTGGGTTTCAGCATTTATTGGATTTCAGAGTACTCTAAGTTAAGCTGGGCACTGTAGCTCTGCAGTTTAAGTATCAATTCACATACTGTGTCTTATTCCTACCACCCTTGCAAGTATTGCATCTTAGAATACAAACTAGCCTTAAATAAACTGTCTTTATATTTTTATATTTGATTTATCTGAGTCTGTAGAGTGCTTCTATTATAATCAAACCACCTGAACTCACCTATATTGGTGATCATGCATTGAGTGGTTAGATGTTGGTGTTTGAGAATTCATTTCTCATTTGCCTCTCTTAGTTGCTTAGCCATTTTCCAGCACATCAATAGGTTGTTCATGATCTACAGCCTCTCAATATAGTTATTATTTGCAACTCAGAGATACCTCTGCTCATCAAACAGCTGGCTGACACCTTCAGCAGACAGGTATGTTATGAAGTTTTCAGTCTTTTTATTATCTTTGATCAGCATTTGCTTTCAGTAGGCAGCAGAAATCTGACAATCTTCCAAACACTTCTGGGCATTTTTTGGCTGACCATGCTCCTGATAGAATAGATAAATTCAATGCAGGTGCTCTAAGAGAATATAACCTACATGCTGCAGAATAAAACATCTGATCTCATGATCTCATTGATTGATGATGCTGGCATGAAAGGGCTCATCACCTGCTATGAGACTATGAACAGTGGCTATGAGACAATACCCAATAATACAGGAATTTACTGCTTCATATGGAAGCATTTTCAAAACCTCAATTAGATTGTGCAGTGGATGGAATATACTGACTGCACCTGGTTTAGAAAGAAGGCTTATTTCTGCATGCCAGAAGCTGTAATAGTCAGACACAAGTGCATCTATGAGAGCTGAGTACCAGAGAATAAAAAAGTCAACAAGATCAAGAACTGAGGCTCATATCAGGATCTGACTGATATCTGCTCATTTTGGGCACCACTGAGATTTTATGGATTTATATCTGCAATTACAGTCTGATTGTTAGGTCTCTTGTAAATCTCACATAGAAAGAGATTGAGTTTTTCTAGGGATCAGATCAGAAGGCAGCTTAAGAAGCACTCAAGCAGAAAATCATCAACTCCTCTGCTCTCTATCCAACAGACTATAAATCAAAAGCACCTATCATACTAGCTGTTGACATCAGCTCACAGGCAGTTGGATATGCCATATTCTAAGAGGACTCAGCCAATCTGAAGAGAAGATATCCTTCTCACTTTGGTTCCATACCTCTAAATGCTGTTGAGATGAAATATAGCCAGCCAAAACTCAAGCTGTATGGTCTGTACAGAGCACTAAAAGAAGCTGTTATATAGATCATTGGAGTAAAGTATCTTATGATAGAGGTTGATACTACAGTCATCAAGAGAATAATAAACAATCCAGTGATAAGCCTTTAGACTCTATGCACTCTGAAATCACAGACTTCAATAATTATTTTTGACTTCTGCCCTTAAGTGGGCTTTCAGTAAAACAATCATTTTAGGTTCAATAGTAGTGGTTTCATCAAGAACTATCTATTATTGACAGACATCCCCTTATGTGTAAAAATTATATATTATACATGAACTTTTTTTTTATCTGTAAACTTTTTTCAACCTTATGAACTTTTCTCATTAACTTTCATGATACATAAACTTTTGATTCTCATAAGTGCCATAGGTTTGGCCAGACACTATAATACCTGATCATATAAGACATACATTATTATTAGTATACATATAGTATCTTAATACAGCCCACAAGGCCCATCATAACACATATGCAAGGCTGGCTGCAGAGGACTAACCATATGTTTAGTTAGATATTTGTAAGAAATATTAGAAGGGCTAGTATACTATTGGCTATATGAACTTTTAAATATGCTAAATTTCCTAAAAGCCTCACAGCCTTGAAGGCTTCATATAATAAAAAGTTTGCTATGCTCATTAAGCTAGTACTGCAGTTACAAAGGCTGTTTAAATGTCACATAGTTGGTATTAGTAAAAAGATAGTATTAGTAGTGTACAAAGAAACAGAGAAAAGAAGAGATAAGCCATATTGAGACTATTCAACATCTATATTAAACTGTACACCAGTACAATACCTCTCCAATAAAATCAGTCACACAGACTACATATAGGCTAATACCCTTTGACTGAGAATGCTATAGCATCTTATGCTCTATCTGGAGGCTTGCATACAACACTAGTGAACTTTTAATTCATAAAAAAAACATAAAAGAGATCTGCTGCCCTTATGTGTCCTTCTCACACTTCCTATACCTAACAAAAGAACTTGAAGAGATTCCAACATTAAAAGTTTATGCTGCATATAAGTTGCACCATCCAGTATTCAGATTCTTATGTGATATTCCTGTTATAAGAAAATTCACATACATACTGTGAGTCACTGTGAACAATTCAGTGTCTTATATCTCTGTAGCTATCCCTTGCTACACCCTTTTAGAGATTAGTCATTGAATAGAGATATATGACTAGACTTGCTTAGACCAGCCTTCAGATTCTGTGCCTTGGTTTTACTTACTGAAATAGGATTTGTGTTTCCTGCCTGCAGAGAGTCTAAACAAACAATTTCTGGTTTATCAGCAGTGCTCATCTGTATCTCCATAAAAGAAGCATGTGCATGAGTAATTCTGTTCATATTCCATTATTCTGAGACCAGAATCATAAGCTGGTGTCTGTGCTCTGCTAGCCTGCTGCTGCATTAATATCAGGAGGCTCTTCTGGTTCTCTATCATGGCTTTTTCCAAGCTTGAGAGCCTTTTATCACTCACAGAGGTCTGCTGTTCCATGAAATCCTTCATGACAGTGAGCACACTTTCTATCTCTTCCTGTTTCACATTGTGCTTATCTACTATGGGTAAATTGCATGGAGTGGTAGTTGAATAGTGCTGTTCATGCATGATAGAGATTGAGGTTGAGATACCTCATGCTTTATCTCACTTTCTGTCTATAGAGGAGAATATGTCTTGCAATGCTATTAATCCAGCTTTCATAATCTCTTTCAAGATGTATAGATCTATTAAGCCTAAATTCCATATGACCAATAACATGTGATAAATGACTGCTACCTTGCACTTTGGGTAAAACAATCAAGTCCACTCATGCATTGTTGGTGCTGTGTAGTCAAGGTGTTTGCAAGTTGCTCAAGAGTAGATGATGAAGAATAAACTTTAGCTCAAAGCTGGGATTACTACAGCAAGAGCTATGCTATTTATATACTAATTGTTGTCCATTCTAAAGATATGACTGCCTAATTGTTTGTTCTGGTGCTATAGAGCACTTTGTTCAATGTTGCTAAGATATCTACAAAAGTGTATTGTCTGCTGTTGAGCTGTTACTGCTGTTACTGCTGTTACTGCTGTGCAATGACAAAGCAGGTCTTCTGTCATTAAACAGCACACAGCAGTGCAGCAGAATCTGGGCAGTGCTGTGAGCTGACTAAGCTCATCCATGGTCCTAAGCACTGGCTAGGCACTCTGACTAAGCAGAAATAGGGGTTAATTCCAAATAAAAGAAAAGAAAAGAAAAGAAAATAGGAAAAATCATAACATTACTCCCTTCTTAAGACCATCATCCTGATGGCTTTGTTAGAGATAAGTCCTCTGATCCAGTCACAGTCAGGGATGAGGTGGCTGATGTGACATTTCACAGTATCTTGTTCTAGTCATAATGTGCTGCCAACATGTCCTCTGCAGATATTGATAGAAGCTTCTCCTTGTTATTGTTATTATATCATGATTTTCATTAGGATAATGACTCATCATTGGCAGTAATCTTCTATCCCTTCATGGTCAATTTATCTGCTGTTCATAGTCATGAATGGCTTCTTTCACATTCATGTACTTTTCATTGACCCATTGGTTTGATTCAGGTTCATATCCTTATCAGCTGACTAGATAGTCAACTGTTGTTGTCATTCTGCTGCTACAGGCTTTGACTTTTTATAATTTGTAGTTTAGTACTTTATCAATTTCATAGTGTTCTTCATCATCAATGAGTTCTGATGGTGGTGGAGGTGGTTGTTTCTGGTTTGGAAAGGCAAGTGCAATGTATAGTGTTAATAATGTCTCATTAAAGATATTATAAACCTTTCAGGTTTTTAGTAATCATAGTTTGTATGCAGAATTGCCAATTTTGGCAATGACCATGAAAGATCTCATTTGTTTGTCTGCCAACTTCTGTTTTAGATGTGGAAGATGCAGGTTTGTGATATCCAACCAAACTTTGTTGTTGATTGAATATTTATAGGCCAGCTTCTGGTGTTTGTTGTATAGTTTCTTCATGCTAGAAGCAGCCTTTTCAAGGGCTGTCTTTGTTTCATTATAGATTTTTGCTATAGTTGTGGCAAAATCCATTGATGCTAGTGTCATCATATGAGCCTGTTCACTTTGAATGACTTGTGGATGATGCTTATAATTAATAAAGAATGACGTTTTACCAGTTGCTGAGTGAATGCTGTTGTTGTGTTGAAAAGCAGCTAGCGCTAGCCATTCTGTCCAATCATCTTGTTGATAGTTAATAAAAAGTCAGAGATACTTTTCAACTTTTTGATTTACTCATTCTATCTGGCCATCCATTTGAGAGTGGTATGCCATTGAAGTGTTTCATTTGATGTTGAGAAGTCAATACAAGTCATTTAGGAACTTTGAGATGAATTGTGGATCTCTGTCTGAAATCACTACTTGAGGCATGCTATACTTGGCATAGATCTTGTCTCATAGAATCTTTGTCCACCTCTCTGATGTTAATTCTGTGGAACAAGCAATTAGAATGATTGCTTTTGAGAAGCAATTGACTATGACAATGATTGTATTATAGCTATCATTTTTGAGAAGTCCAGTTATCATATCCACTGAAATGTGAGTCCATGATGATGAAGAAACCTCATTTGGGTGGAGGAGAGTGGCTTGGGGTTGAGTTGAGAATTTGCCTCATTGATAAATCTTGCAAGCTTTAACATATCAGATGATATCATGATCTATTTTGGACCACCAATATTCCCATAATATAAGCTCTTTGGTCTTGGCAATGCCAGAGTGTCTGGCAGTTGCATGGTTATGACATGTGGTGATGATCTCACCACAAAGTCTTTGATCTCAAGGGATATAGATTCATCCATCATAATAGATCAAGTCTCTCTCCTTCTTTAGTTCTCATTTATGGTTGAGGGATGAGGCAATTTGTTGATTCCATTTATGGGGATCCTGGATTGCACTTTTGATATGCTCATGGATCTCCTCCTCTGTGGGCATGATCATTGCCTGGAAGTGTTCAAATCATAGTAATATGACTCCTTTGTTGTCATTTCCACTCTAGTCATGGTTGGCCCTGTGGCTAAGGAAATCCACCTTCTTGTTTGCTGCACCAGCTTTGTGGTGCAGTATATATTTGTATTCAGATAATTCTGTAACCCATCAGGCTTGTCAGCAATTAAGCTTTTGTGAGAGATGGAAATATTGGAGATTCTGGTGGTCAGTTCAGATCTCAAAGATCTGGACTGCTCCAATGAGATAATGCTGCCATTTGGCTAGGACAAGCATT